TGTGTGTGTGTGTGTGTGTGTGTGTGTGTGTGTGTGTGTGTGTGTGTGTGTATGTGTGTGTGCGTCCACACGCGCCTATGTCTCACCTGACAGCCCACTTGAGCCTCTCCGAGTCCATCCTGTCCCCTTTCTTCTGTATTAGCCTCCAGTCGCTGATGCTGAAGGCTAAGGTAGTCAGCTTCTGGGTGGTGATCATCAACGGGCTGATAGAGGGAGGGAGGGAGGGAGAGAGGAAGGAGAGGGAGAGGGGGAGGGAGGAACAGACAGAGAGGTTGTTTTACAATGATATGGGAGTATATTAGATACAATGAAATCGAGGGTGTCAAGGAAACCCTAAGAAAACATAACATCACAACTGAAAGAGCTGCGGAGCTGGCCTACCATAGAAAAATCATCTCCCCTCGACGCTTAACGGCAACAGAGGATGAAAAAAAAGAAAAAGAAAGAAGATGGGAGTTAGTTTTAGTTTTAGTAGTGGTTTTACGGAGCTTGCAACTGCATACGGTCATATGAGCGCCAGAAGATTAGAGGTGTTACAAGAGAGTAACAAACATTTAAAAAAAGAAACAGGGGAAATAAGGAAGATAGATGTTTGATAGGAAAGAAGAAGCACACCACACCAGAGCACCCCGCTAACCACCCACATGGGAGTTAAATCGAACAGTAAGTGAGTGGTTGGTGGGTGCTCTGGTGTGGTGTGTTTCTTCTTTCCTATCAAACAACTATCGTCCTTATCTCTCCCACTTCTTTATGAGTGTTTGGTTGATGGGTGCTATGGTGTGGTTTGCTTCTTCTTTCCTACCAAACATCTATCATTCTTATCTCTCCTCCTTCTTTTCTTTGTACGATACTTTCCAGTAGTAACACCTATGCTCTTCGGCACTTATACGTCCTAAAAGTCTTGTGAATGCCGTTAAACATTTACTCTTACTAAAACAAAAATTTAACAATAACACCTCTTATCCTCCGCACTTATACGACTACATGTATTTGTGTCGCGAGTGTCGTAAAACTCAACCTAAAATTTAAAAAGTACCTCCAATTGCCAGCAGGCTTAATATGACCTATTTGTATTGCAAGTGCCATAAAACACTTACTAAAACTAAAAAGCACCTCTAATCTTCGACACTTATAGGACCTATTTGTGTTGGAAATGCTGTAAAACTCTTACTAAAAGGAAACAGTGAGGTGTCTCACTAGTAACACTAACACTTATAAATCTCCAACACTTATACATGACCTATTCCTGTTGGAAGTGCCTTAAAACTCTTATCTTATTAAAACAAAACAGTGATGTGACTCACAGATAACACAACTAATCCTATCATCATCATCATCATCATCATCATCATCATCATCATCATCATCATCATCATCATCACCATCACAATCATTACCGACTAAAGAATCCTCTTTTTCTTGCGGTGGTTTTCTTGAAACATTACAATTTGCACCAAGCCAATACATTAATTTACGTAACCTGCAAATATCGGCACCAAAATCAGGACCCGGGACAAAAACAAGAACAAAAAAATATTTAAAAACCCAACCCACAACCAATCCTCGGCACTTATATATATATGAGCTATTTGAGCTGGAAGTACCGTAAAACTCTCACTAAAACGAGACAACCAAGTGACTCGCCAGCAACATTTCTAATTCTGGGAATCATGTGTTATATGACCGATTCGTGTTGCAAATGCGGTAAAACTCTTACTAAAACAAGACACTGGAGTAACACCGCTAATCCTCGGCACTTATACAACCCATTTGTATTGTAAGGGTCGTAAAACTCTAGCTAAAACCCCCCCAAAAAACCCGACAAAAAACCAAAAAAAGAACAAACCAAAAGAAAACAAGACAGTGTGGCGACTCACTATAGCAACACCTCTAATTCTCTACAGATATACAACCCATTATTGTACGTCAAACTCTAGATTTTAGTTTTAGTAATAGTTTTATGGCACTTGCAACACAATAAGGTCATATACGTGCCGAAGAATAGAGGGGTTTAAAGAGAGAAATAAACACCAAAGACAAAAAAAGGAGCGAGAGGGACGATAGATATTTTAAAAAGTTTTAATAGAGGTTTTACGGCGCACGCAACTGCATACGGTCATATGAGAGCCAGAAGAATAGGTGGTTTGGTTTAGTAGAGGTTTTACGGCGCTTGCAACAGAATAAGGTCATATAAGTGCCGAAGAGTACATTATGGGTTACAAGAGAGTAACAAACACAAAAAGGAGGAGAGGTAAGGACGATAGATGTTTGATAGGAACAAAGGAGCAAACCACACCAGAGCACCCGCCAACCACCCACGAACTCTAGCTTAAACAAAAAGAAACAAAAAAACAAAACAAAACAAAACAATAAACACCCAAAAACAAAACAAAAAACCTGCAACAGAGGGGCAACTCACTAGTAACATTTCTAATCCTCGGCACTTATACAACCCATTTGTATAGAAAGGGCCGTAAAACTCTAGCTAAAACAAACACAAAAAGAAAAAACTCTCATCCTCGGCACTTATACAACCCATTTGTATTGAAAGGGTCGTAACATTCTAGAAAAAAAAAAAAAGAACAGACAGTGGGGGGACTCTGAAGTAACACCTCTAGATCTAATCCTCGGCACCTATACAACCCATTTGTATTGAAAGTTCCGTACGTAAAACTATAGCTAAAAAAAAAAAGAAAGAAAAAACTCTAATTCTCGGCACTTATACAACCAATTCGTATTGAAAGGGCTGTAAAACACTAGCTAAACACACACACACACACACACACACACACACACACACACACACACAATGAAAAAAACAAACGAAAAAACCAAACCAAACAAAAAAAACGAGAGAGTACAGAGGGTGGACTCACTAAGTGGCGTCATAGCAGAGGTCACCAAAGGGCAGGGTCAGCCGATAGACGTACAGGGCCAGCATGTAGCCCAGGGCGAAGAAAAACACGGGTCTGTGGAGCAAATTCGGGGGGGGGGGGTAGTT